CAGTATCAATAATAAGGGCAAATCTGTTATTCCTTCTCTCTTGTATGGTTCAGACTTTGTCACCTCACCTAAAGACAAAGCTGAATTGTTTGCTAAGAACTTTTCATCAATATCATCTCTTGATTCCACTAGTTGCGTTTTACCTGACATAGCCGTCAAACAGGTTGATCCCTTGCTTGACATTCGCATCACTTCAGCTTCTGTATCTGAAGTAATTTCCTGCTTAGACTCTTCAACAGCTTGTGGTCCTGACAACATTCCTGTTGTAGTCTTGCAGAGGTGTTCTCCGGATCTTTCACCCATACTTTCTAAACTATTTAACAAGTGCTTATCAGAGTCTTGTTTTCCATCATGCTGGAAAGCAGCATCTGTTATCCCTATTTTCAAAAATTCCGGAGAGCGATCTGATTCATCTAACTACCGTCCCATTAGTCTTCTTCCTGTCATAAGCAAGGTTTTTGAATCTTTAATTAACAAACACTTAATCTCTCATCTTGAATCAAATAACTTACTTTCTGATCATCAATATGGATTTCGGTCTTCTCATTCTACAGCTGATGTGCTAACAGTAATAACCGATAGGTTTTACCGTGCATTAGATAGAGGTGGAGAGGTTAAGGCTATCGCACTTGACATTTCTAAAGCTTTTGATAAAGTTTGGCATGCTGGTCTTCTCCATAAGCTTTCTTCTTATGGTGTAGCTGGTAACGTCTTTAAGATTATTGAGTCCTTTCTTTCCAATCGTAGTATAAAAGTTGTCCTCGATGGACAACACTCTTCTTCACATCCTGTAACTTCAGGGGTTCCTCAAGGTTCAATCATTCGCCCTATACTCTTTTTAATTTACATCAACGATCTCCCAGATATTCTCACATCTAAGGTGGCATTATTCGCTGACGACACTACCATTTACTCTTGTCATGATAAGAAGCCTACACTCTCTGATTGCTTGGAGGGGGTATCTGAGCTTGAAAAGGATCTCACTTCTGCTACAGCATGGGGCTCACAGTGGCTGGTGAACTTTAATTCAGATAAAACTCAATTTTATTCGGCCAATCGTTATCGTAATAATTTAGATCTTCCTATATTTATGAATGGTAATGTGCTAGATGAGTCATCTACCATTCATCTTCTAGGATTAACTCTTACTTCTGATCTTTCTTTTAAACCGTATATCAAATCCATTGCAAAATTAGCATCTGCTAAGGTTGCATCTCTTTATCGAGCTCGACACTTTCTTACTCCAGATTCTATTCTCTATCTCTATAAATCTCAAATCCGTCCCTGTATGGAATACTGTTGCCACATATGGGGCGGATCTTCTAATGACGCTCTTTCTCTTTTAGACAAGGTGCAAAAACGAATTGTAAACATAGTTGGACCTGCTCTGGCAGCCAATCTCCAACCTTTGTCACATCGTCGTAATGTTGCTTCTCTTTCTCTTTTCTACAAATACTATAATGGGCACTGCTCTAAAGAGCTAGCGTCCCTTGTGCCATCTACTAAAATTCATTCTCGTGTTACTCGCCATTCAATTAAGTCTCATCCTTTTTCTGTGACTGTTCCTAAGTGCTTCAAAAACTCTTATTCTTCTAGTTTTTTTCCTCGAACATCAGTTCTTTGGAATTCGCTTCCTTCATCTTGCTTTCCTGATTCATATAATTTGCAATCTTTTAAGTCATCAGTCAATCGTTATCTTGCTCTACAGATTTAGTCTTTTCTCTTCCAGTAACTTCCAACTCTTATAGTGGTTGCTTGCAGCCTTGTTGGAAGTGATCTTAAAAAAAAAATATATATATATATATATATATATATAATATATATATATATATATATATATATATATATATATATATATATATATATATATATATATATATATATATATATATATATATATATATATATATATATATATATATATATATATATATATATATATAGATAGATATATATATATATATATATATATATATATATATATATATATATATATATATATATATATATATAGATATATATATATATATATATATATATATATATATATATATATATATATATATATATATATATATATATATATATATATATATATATATATATATATATATATATATATATATATATATATATATATATGAATTTTTAGTTTTTCCATAAAAAATCATGTATTTGTACCTGTATAATTTTCTACTTACATATGATGAACTTTATTTGAAATGGTGTTCCCAAATTTCTAGAGTCACTGTACTAAACATATTGCAACAAAAATTTAAAAATGTTCTCAAACTCTTAAAATATAATTATACTGTTATTTAAAAAATATTATTATAGATATATATAGTGGCAATGACGTTTGTCTGACGGGATAAACTAGTTATAAATGCTGATCCTCATCGAAACGCCAGTAATAATAGACGCGACTCTGAGGAGATGTTTATTACTTATCACTTCACTAATTATGTTTACACATTAGCATTAATGTTTTTTTTCCATT